TACTTCACAATGATGAGATATCGTCCGCTTTGGGTCTAAGCCCTCACGGTTTTGCTTTTGGTCATCACCTAAAAGGCCTCTCAATCATTGAAGTATGTTTATGTTATATAAGTTGGTATTTCTTGTTTTATTTTATCGATGCGGGACTTGTTTGTATCCCAACAATTCTCTCCTCAAACAAGGGACCTAACCTTTCATGCATCAGAATCTGTCTTTATATATCACATTATATGTTATAAGTTATGAGGAGTTATGAGGGTTGTTACCGCATCCAACCAGGCGGCTCTAATACCACTAATAGGTTATTTTTATGGTATTTGTCTGAGAGAATATTTTATGAATATTATTTTTATAAGATTATTATACAAGCATACTCCACAATGATGAAATATTGTCTGCTTTGAGCCTAAGCCCTCACGGTTTTGTTCTTGATCATCACCCAAAAGGCTTCTCAATCATTGAAGTATGTTTATGTTATATAAGTTGTTATTTCTTATTTTATTTTATCGATGTAGGACTTGTTTGTATCCCAACAGGTCCCAACCTTCAGGATAAAATTAAATTTCCTTAATCTTCTGTGTTCATTTATTATGTTTTGTTTTGTAGAAAAACTAAGAGAGACGAGTAATACTAGTATTGGGTAAACGTAGCAACTCACTGTACTTTATTGAATAAGAGATGGCCTTTAAATAGCCATTGTACAACGTACCAAATTAACAAGAAGATAACAAAATATCTTATCAAAAACTATCTTATCTAAAATAAAACAAATAAAACAGATAAACTAACTCGGATATCTCTAAAATTTAAGATTATCTAACAAAACTCCCCCATAAGCTTAAATTTTTTTTTCATTTCGATGCCTCTTCCACCAGAGCTCGATACTCCTCTTTTTATCCAGCACCCCCGACGCCGCGGTGGCCGATGCCTCTTTTGGGACACAAAAGTACCCGTTGTTCTTTGATCCACCTCTAAACCCAGAAAATACTTCATGATGCCCAAATCGGTCATCTCAAACTCCCTCTTCATCACTTCTTTAAACTCCTCAACTAGCTCAGCTTTGCTTCCCATCTCACTCTTCCCAATTGATCCGATCTCCTCATCCATTTCTTTCTTCCATCTCTCATCAAGTACTGCCTCTTCAAATTTTATGTCTTCTGTTCCTGTCAATAGACATACTACATGTAACTCGTCAGTGGAGTTGTAGATGTCTTGCAAGCTCCGAGTTCTAAGCTGCTCAGGTTCATCATCTTCCTCGGAATGCTCATTGGTCCTATCCGAGCTTCTCCCTATTATCTCCGATCTCTCCCTCTCAGAGTTCGAGCTCCCCGAAGTCTCTTCAGAGTTACTCCAGCTCCACTCGCTTTCCTCATCTACCTGGACATCTCGGCTTACCAGAATTTTTCCTGTAACAGGGTTGTACAATTTGTAGGCTTTTGCCTTTTCATCATACCCGATCAAGATATACTTCTTGCTCCTATCATCAAGCTTCGTTCTGAGCTGAGCTGGAACATGACCGTAAGCAAGGCTTCCAAAGATCTTGAAGTGATGTATACTCGGTTTTTGTCCACTCCATGCTTCTTGAGGTATCACATCATCCAATTTTGAATGTGGGCACCTGTTTTGTATATATATAGCACACTGCACTACCTCTGCCCAAAACTTCTCAGGCATATCCTTCCCTTTAAGCATAGCTCGGACCATATCAAGAATAGTCCGATTCTTTCTTTCAGCTACTCCATTTTGTTGTGGTGAATATGGAGCTGTGAGAAAACGTTTTATACCTTGCTCTTCACAGTATTCCATAAACTCTGCCGATGTGAATTCTCCACCTCTGTCCGACCTCAAAGCTTTAATTTGCTTGTTAGTCTCTTTCTCCACCATGACTTTAAACTTTTTAAAAGCTTCAAATGCCTTTGATTTTTCTTGCAAGAAATATACCCAGGTCTTTCGAGAGAAATCATCTATGAAAGAGATGAAATATTTCTTACCACTGAAGGATGCAGGAGAGATTGGTCCACACAAGTCAGTGTGTATCAGGCCAAGTTGCTCCTTTACTTTGTACTCGGACGAGTTCGGAAAACTTGTTCTTGTATGCTTTCCGAGTACACATGCTTCACAAAACTTCTTGTCAAACTCAACACCACGTAGTCCGTGCACCAACTCCTTCCTTGATAGCTCGGCCAAACCTCCAAAGTTCAAATGCCCAAAACGAAAATGCCACATCATGGCTTCATCCTTCACGTCCAGCTTCAAGCACTTATTTTGAAGGATGTTCAGCTCCAGTTTATACATCCGATTCTTTTTCATCTCTACTCGGGCTATTAAACGATCATGTTTGTCCTTCAAATAAAGCACTCGATCCTTCATCAGAACCGAGTTGCCTTTCTCCATCATCTGCCCCATGCTTAAGATGTTGCTCTTAAGTTCGGGAACGTAGTAGACATTTCTTATTTCTCCAACTCGTCCATCCTTCTGCATAAACTTGATGGTTCCATGCCCTTTTACCGCAACCTTGGAATCATCTCCAAATGACACGAATCCAGCCTTCACCTTGATGAGTTCGTTGAAGAAACTTTCTTCTCCACACATATGATTGCTCGCTCCAGTGTCCAAATACCAGACCGAGTTGTTTAAGCAACTCGAATCAAGCTCGGCTTTTGACTTCTCATCTGAGCTTGGAAGCTCAACTACTGATCTCTCCACGCAACTCAAGTTTAGTTGATCCTCGGAGGCACAACTCGGACGTAGCTTGGTCTCCGAGCTCTGCGTCATCATCAAAATTCCTGCTTCCTCGTCCTCTTCTTCTGTGAGAATATTCTTCTCTTTCTCTTCACTTCAAATTTTAGCTCGGCAATACTTTGCTATGTGACCGTATTTGCCACAGTTGTAGCAATTTGCCGATCTGGATTCCTTTGCGTAGTGGCCGTGCTTGCCACACTTATAACATTCCACTTCCGACCTTGGCTGACTTCCTTGGTTACGATCACCTCGTCCTTGTCCTCCTTCATTATCACCTCGTCCTCTACCTCGTCCTTGATCACCTCGTCCTTTGCCTCGTCCTTGATCACCTCGTCCTTGTCCACTTGATCTTCGGCCTTGGGTGTTCCGAGTTTCATTCAAATCAAGTTGCGCCTACCTCGTCCTTGATCACCTCCATGATCACCTCGTCCTTTGCCTCGTCCTCCATGATCACCTCGTCCTTGTCCTCCTGATCTTCGGCCTTGAGTGTTCCGAGTTTCATTCAAATCAAGTTGCGCCTGTAATGCTTGATCAAGAGTACCCTTCATCTTCCTCCTCCTTTGTTCGTGGGCTTCGAGTGACCCAGCGAGCTCTTCCACTGAGAGAACTGACAAGTCCTTTGACTCCTCAATTACGCATGCAATACTCTCGAAATCATCTGTTAATGATCTCAAGATTTTCTCCACAATTCTATTTGCTGGCATTGGCTCCCCATTCCTTCCGAGACCCGAGTTATGTACTCGGATACTTGTTCCTTATCCTCCATCTTTAAACACTCAAACTCTCCTCGGAGAGTTTGAAGTCGGATCTGTCTGACATGGTGGTTACCTCTGTGCGCAACCTCCAAGATCTTCCATGCTTCCTTTGAAGATGCAGTGTTTGCAATCTTCTCAAAACCTGACTCATCCACGACATTGTACAAAAAATACAAAGCCGATTTGTCCTTCACTCGTGTCTTTTCCAATGCGGCAATCTGAGCCACAGATTGGTCTTCGTCCTCCTCGGGTTCTTGGAACCCCTTCTCCACTATGTCCCATAGACTTTGAGAACCCAACAGGGTCTTCATCTGTAAACACCAATTATCATAATTGGTTTTCTTTGACAGTTGTGGTACGGTCATTCCATTAACAACCTTCGCCATTACTCTCTCTTTCTTCTTTCTTCCCCTTCACAGGCGCACACTGTTTTCCTCTCACACTCGGCACTTAGAGCATAAAGCTCTGATACCAATTTGTAGAATAACAAGAGAGACAAGTAATACTAGTATTGGGTGAACGTTGCAACTCACTGTACTTTATTGAATAAGAGATGGCCTTTAAATAGCCATTGTACAACGTACCAAATTAACAAGAAGATAACAAAATATCTTATCAAAACAAATCTTATCAAAAACTATCTTATCTAAAATAAAACAAATAAAACAGATAAACTAACTCGGATATCTCTAAAATTTAAGATTATCTAACATGTTTAAGAAAGAATAGTTGTATTTTTAAGTTATATAAATTTATACAATTAACCCAATGTAAACCATGTTTGAAACAATACACTAGGGTCTAGGGGTGGACTAGAATTAAGTTCTAACACTTCCTTTTAAATAACTAGAACTCTAAATTTGGTATATTTTTTTATGCTTATGTAAATTTGGTATAATATTACTTTTGTAGACTAATCTCCTAGGTCATTTATTTATTTTCCTAATTCAAATAAAATTAGTGGTCACTCCTTGAATTCTCAGTTTTTGTTACCCAGTGGTCTTCATTTTGGTCGTGACATTACTTTATAATTCTATCCAAATCCTATTCATTTTGATCCAAAGGATGACCATTTCATAGCTTGTTATTATATAACAAGAAATGAAAGCATCACTTGAGAAAAAGGAGTAAGGAGCTTCTATAAATGCTACTGAAAATTACCAAAAGTGAAAACTATATTTAGCAAATTTAACTTTTCCCTTACAAAGACAACTTGACAAAGCCTAAAACCATCTTACAAAGACAACTTGGCAAGCCTAAAACCATCTTACATAACTTTTAAAACTTGAAGACCTATATTCCAAATATGTAAAGGGCTATGTTGACTATAAATTATTAGCTCGAGTAGTACTTGACTCGGTACTTTTAAGAAAGATTTTAGTTCAAATTTTGTGAATTAAAAAAATATGATTTAGAAGAGAGACTCTACTACAAATAGTTAATTAAATTTTTCGATAAAAATAAGTAATTAATAAATATTTCATATCAATAACATGATTACAATAATGAAATAAATACCGTCATGCACTACTTGGTCTAAGTCATAGACTTAGAATAAAAACTTACACAACTTACTCTACCTTGTCAAAAAGTCATGTATCATGCCCATAAGAGTAATTAAATTATTTATTTATGCTAATAATATTTATCCTACATTTCCTATTTCAAATCCTGTAATGTGTAAGAGCACTAGTCCCATCAAGTCCTTTAGCTACATAGTAGGCTTGATAGCCAGCAACTGTAGTTTCCCTGTATTTGGGAGGGTTGTCTTCTGATAATAGTTCCCTTATAGGTCCATAAAGCTTTAAGGATCCCTTCCCAACAGAGCGAAAAAAGCATGCAATAGATATTCTTGGACCAACATCATTAGCAAGCACTCTGTGTTCAGCACTCTTGAATCTATCGTTTGATATGAGCTATAATTCACACTAGCAAACATTAGCTACTTGATTACATCTGATAATGCTCACTCATATAACAACAGATAAAAACAATATGTCTTACTAGGTGCAATCAGTAACATGGATCAAGTAAGAGAATTTAACTCAATCTTCTATACTTATGTACTAATAATAAAGAGGATACTTATCTTTGGTATACACATATTTTTACTGTTTTTGTCCTTCTTCTGATTATGAAAATTACACCTTGTTCACAATAATTATTTTAAAAAAATAACTCCTGAATCATGACAACTATTTACATCCTTTAACCATCTTTTATTTTTAATTAGAAAACTTAACTACATATATAATTAAATCTGACTATACAAAGCCTCAACTACATAGACAAGGCATGGAGTGCCTGTTTTTTCAACTAGTTCAATTATAGAAAATGGCAAAATGCAAACTATTTCGTACCTGGCATTCTTATTTCCTAACACAAGAAGGTGAAATAATACTATTATTTGTTTAGGGGTGAGTTCATTGAGGGTTATGTAGAAGTAGTCATTTTTCTCATACAGTAAGAAACATTATGATGGAAGATTAGATACTCAACATTTTATTTCAGGTTGCATTGCTTTGTACATTGTACAGGACATATTGTAATTACGTCATGTGTTAGACTGTTGTGCCTTGATAATTTTTATTTTCACATCTTCCTTAGAAAATGTAGCTATAGATGTACTCACTATTCATCATAAATTAATAAAAGTTGCAGGAAATAAAGGCATAACAGAAGAAAAACAGAAAACTTGCCTGCAAAAGATCACCAATATTAACTACCAAAGCACTAGGTACGGGGTTTATATCAATCCAATTGTCATGATATCTTACTTGGAGGCCACCAATATGGTCCTGTAGAAGCACTGTGAAGAAATCACTGTCAGAATGAGTGGAGGTTCCTATAGTTAATTCTGGTTGAGGACAGGCTGGATAATAATGGCAAAAAGCAGTAAGCCCCTCTGCACATCCCATATCTTTTAGATAGTTTGGATTCAGACATAGAGCTTCTGATAACAACTCAAAGAGTAAAGTCCCCAATTTCATTATGTGTTTCCCATATTCCAGCAATATATCTCTGCAACAACGTGAAATCAATCAGAAGAATGAAAATTCAATGTTAGGCCTTATCAATTTGTGTCAGCTAGCTTCTATTGTAGTTGTATTTTTTCAAACTTTCATAAGAACATGAATTTAAACATAAATCAACTTTACAAAATCAGCTTGTGATAATTATACCACTTATATTCATTACTTTGGCCATATTACTAGTTGATATTACTAGTTGATGTGAGATTTTCAATATAATTCTAACGTTAAGGACTAGATATCTTAAGTGTGAAATTTGTAAAGCTACACATTTGCAAGTGATTTGATAGTGACCCAATAGCCGGTAGCATGATAGACCCAAAAAAATTCGCTAAAATAAGTATTGAAATCATCTTTAAAATGTGAATTTAAGCATAACTCAACTTTACAAAGCTGATTTTGTATAGTTCAGTTAAAATCAAATCCACTTTCCTAAGAAACTACATATTCTTAACTTTGATTTTTTAATATGTGAAAATGGAAATGAACACAACTCATGGGTTAACATAACTTTTCATTAGAAAATTAACAAATATAGGCCTCCAAGTTCGTATACTTTGACCTGAATAAAAGTATAAAACCCATTTGAAGGTGTTATAGGAACATAGCTCTAGATATCATTGTTTGAAGACAGCTAAACAATGAAACCATAAAACAAAAAATTATTAATGAGAGAAGTATGTAAAGAGAAGAGAAAACAAGGAAATTTTTTTTTTTCAGTGCTACCATAATGTTCTTCATATTTTCCATTCATATTTATATGAAACACTGCTAGTCCTAAACAAGAAAGAAAGCTGCCAAAGCAAACCCTACACAATAACGATCCGAGAAACACAAAAAGCACTAAGTACCCAACAAAAACACAAAACGTAATAAGGTAGAAAAACTGCAACAGCAAAATAAGAAGAAAAAAAATTAAAATTAAAAGAACACTACAATTAATGTGGTTTATATCCATGGAAGAAGGAAGTTTTCGATTATATGAAAAACAGGACCAAATCTATACAACAGAACAATCTTTTACACTTATCCATAACCTATTGATCTCTTTAATAGGTTCATCTTTTCTCTCTAGGAGTCTCCGTTATGTCCTCTGCACTTATGTTCTCACTCTCTTACTTTTCCCCTTACTGACACACTTAGATAAGATCCTAAAATAGATATAAATAGATATCCAATACTCTAAAAGTAAGCCTTATAAGACTAAACAGATTAAACTCATCAAACCAACAAAGACAAATTAAACAAACTATACCTATAAAATTATACGGACGATCCACAAATTGAGTCAAACAAATGGACAACCTCATAGCTACTCAACAAAATACTACCAATAAAAGCAAGCAAAAATAATTAATCCCTAAACAAAGAAGTATTTTCGAAAAAATCTACAAGAGACACATACATATTAAGTACCAATAATTACTACCAATTAAGTACCTGCATGCTACAGGAATTTCTTCTGGTTTGGGGGTATCAGGATACAAGTAACACCTAAAAGAATCCCTCCAATTGAGTGCTGGTTGTGAGCCATACAGATCAAAATTGCTATTATACACAAACGATTTTAATCCATCTCGTGAATAGAATTCTCTTTTGGCTTCAGTATCCAGCTCATGAAACCTTTTCACCCCATTTTTCATCTCCTCAAGAACACTCACAGGGATGTCATGATTCACCACCTGAAAGAAACCCCATGTTTCAGATGCTTCCTTGATTATGTCAACAAGTCCTTGGCGTTTACTTGGATCTTTGCTAATACCTGCAAGGTCTATGACTGGAATAATATGCCTTGTGTTGCCTAAATTTGAGGCCTTCTCAAATTTATGAGGTTGATGATGGAATAAGCTTGGTACGCTCTTAACACCTGCATCAACAAGCCCCTTCACACCAGCTTTGGTTTCATCAAATGCTTTGCGTTCCCTCAAAACAGAGTCAAAGTCTGGCTTAGTTGTTCCCATTTTCCTTTGCTTGGTAGTGTAGCAGAGACAGGGAAGTTATGTAATAACAAAGACTTAAACAAGTATAGAAAAAAGAGACAAATTTCGGAACTATTTGAGACTAAGGGGTGTCTCGAATTTTGATATTTCAAAAGAGTTTTTTTACTATATTGTGAATTTTAAATTTTTTTTTACAGAAATGTAAAGACTTTTAAAATATTTTTAAAAACTTTATAAGGGCATAATAATTTTTAAGATTTTTATTAAAATATTTTTTTAATTAAGATTTTATAATATGAATTTTAATGGATATGTATTTAAAAATTTATAAAATATGAAAAAAAAATTATTAAATTTTAAAAGACAATTTATAAAATTTGACAATTTTTATTAAATTTCATGAACCTGCTCCATGATTGGTTTGTCACCTAACATTTTCTGTCTTCCAGCATAATCAGCGCCATAATGCTTCTGTCAATTAAATTATTTGACTACGGTATTTCATTTTTAATGTAGAGAAGGAAACAATATTGAAAATAGGAATAGTGAAACTTATCACAAGTCGCATTGTGCCTGGAAAGTGGAAACCTCTGTCCTGAAGGGACGGATTTCCTTAGACGATAACCTAGCCATAATAATAAATCAATTTTTTTAAAAGTTTAATTATATTATATTATATATATATATATATATATTAATGCTCACATGTATAATATAATATATTTTTTTAATAAAATAAAATTTACGGCATGCATATTTACCTTTTGTGCTTTCTATTTATTGTATATGTTGATAAAAAAATTAAAATAGTAAAAAATGTAAGATTGTATATGTTGATTTAAAAAAATCAAAATAAGAAAGGTTGGAAGATTTATGTTCTATTTATAATTTTTATTATAAAATATGTTTTAAAATAAATTATTATCTAAAAATTTATATCACATATTAAAAACATGTTTATATCATAAATAAATTAAACTTGATTTTTATAAAATTTAACATATTTATTTTTATATTTTTATTTGTGTTAAATTATTATAAAGTAGGTATTTAAGATTGTAGTTCTAACTAAACATTTAAAAAATGTTTATGACAGATAAATATGCCATATTTAAAACATGTATTTTTAAAAAAAGTTAAACTCAAATCTATTAAATAATAATATAATATAATGTGACCTAATTTATTTTCATTCTTAATCGTAATTATAGATATAAAAATTTATAAAAAATAATTATAATATATATTTATACTTTTAAAAGTTATATGTAAAAATTTTTATACTATAAATATATAAATAAATATTATCTTGATTATATAAAACTTTTGGATCCGTCCCTGCCTGAAAGTGAAACCCGACTATGGAACTCGGTGCAATCCAAGGCTAAAACACATGCATTCGTGGCCTTAGGCTATGGAAATCACAGAACAATTGCCCAAACAAAATTGTGTATAACGAACATAGATGAGAGAAGAAGGAGAAGAACATTAAAAGGGAACAAGTGTTTTTCTCTATGCAATCTTAAAAAAAAAAAAAAAAAAAAAAAAAAAAAAAAAAAAAACAACGTTATATGTTATCAACAATGAGCCCCTCATATTCTAAAGAATAGCACCCACCAGGCCATACTTCTACTTAGCGGTACAGATATTCCTCACATATTTTTTTAATATATATTTATATATATCTTTGGATATTTATTTTTAAAAAATAAATAATTTTTAAAAATTATTTTCATAATAATTTCTATTTATTTTAATAATTTTTTAAAATATAATAGTTTAAGAGTTAAAACTTAAATTCTTCAAATATTATACACTATTAATTCCTTGATTTCATGACGCTCAGTAACAAAAAAAAGTTGCCTGATCATCCTTAGGGGCCGAATACAGAGCAATGGTTTCTGCTTCCTGTGAGCTACAGTAGCTCAACTATTTTCTTAGAGGTCTTCATATTTCTAAAATCAAGCAATGCTATTTTGTGATAACAAGAGTGATTCACACATTGCAACAAACCTTGTTTTTATGAGCGCACCAAACATGTTAATATTCATTGTCACCTCTTTTGTTCTCACGCTTGGATGCTAAACACCAATCATCCTCAGTTTGTGGGGTTGATAATCTTAGTGCATGTTTGGTTTCAGGAGTTTAAACAAGAATCACATCAAAATTAATGCAAAAGCAACTAATTATTGCTTCTCGTGATCCACATCCAACTAATATTGATATGAATCCAAACATGCTCTTGGTTCTACTCAGTTTAATTTCTCATAGCTAGTGACACTTGTAACTAGTTAATTATTGTAAGTAGTCGATTGAAGTTGTTGGTGACCAGTAACTAACTCCTTTCTTTATGTATACGCTTACTATACAAAGGCACACAACTTGTATCACTTCCATTTCAGTAATAATAATAAAATACACAGAATCAGAAAATTCGCTCTCTGACTTCTTAGAGGTTCATATCTATCCGTTTCATCCTCTTCAACCTTTTACTAATCTTCAGTTTTTTCTACATATTTCCTAGTTCAAATCCTGTAACGTGTAAGAGCACTAGTACCATCCAGTCCTTTTGCTATATAGTTGGCTTCATAGTCAGCAAATGTAGTTTCCCTGTACTTTGGAGGATTGTCTTCTGATAATAGTTCCTTTATAGGTCCATAAATCCTTAAGGATGCCTTCGCACTTGGGCTGAAAAAGCATGCAATAGATATTCTTGGACCAACATGATTTGCGAGCACTCTGTGTTCAGCACTCTTGAATCTGTCGTTTGTAATAAACTATAATTCAAACAGACAACAATTAGCAGCATGGTTACATGTAAATGATCATTCGAATAACAACAGATAAAAACAATAAAGTCATGTCTCACTAGGTGGGAACAAACAAGAAGATGGATCAAATGTGTGATTCTGACTCTAGCATTCAATTATAACGAGAAAATGGAAAAATGAAAACTATTTTATGCCTGGCATACCTTCCACAAATTGGGAATTCATATTATTATTTGTTTAGGGGTGATATGATTGAGGGTTTGGGAATTCATATTATTATTTATTTACTCATACATTAAGGAATATTATAAGACAAAAGATAAAGCATCTCAAGAAAGATGGAAGATGGAGTTAGCAATAGGAAAAATATATGAGGGCACCCAAAATACTATCCAACACAGTGAGAGAATTAGAGAAAGATAAAAGACAAAAAAGTATAAATATGATAGGTGATATGATATGATAGAAAGAGAGGTGGAGAAAAATTAGAAGAGTTGATAAATTTTTTAAAACAAATGAGGTGTCCAAAAATCATTGCTCCATGCAATATACCATTTCAAATTGCATGGTTTGTCCTATTGAAAAATACCAGCAGCACATTCTCTATTATTAACTAAAATTCACATAGGTCCTATGTGTTCAGTACCATTGCTGTCCTATTTTAGTAGCATTGGCTTATTGTACATTGAGCAGAACATACTCTAATTACTTCATTAGTGTAGTGTCATGATCATTTGTTGAAGCTATAGATATAACTTGTATCCATCATAGAATAGATTAACAAAAGTTGTAGGAAATAAACACATCAAAGAAAAACAGAAAACTTGCCTGTAAAAGATCCCCAATATTAACTACCAAGGCACCCGGTACAGGGGTTATGTCAATCCAGTTGTCATGATATTTCACTTGAAGGCCACCAATGTGGTCCTGGAGAAGCACTGTGAAAAAATCATTGTCAGAATGGTTATTGGTTCCGATAGTCAAATCTGGTTCAGGACATGAAGGATAATAGTGGCAAAGAGAAAAAAGCCCCTCAGCACATCCCATATCTTTCAGATAGTTTGGATTCAGACCAAGAGCTTCTGAAAACAACTCAAGCAGCAAAATCCCAAGTTTCATTATGTGTGCCCTATAATCCAGCAGTATATCTCTGCAAGAATATGGAAGCAATCAAAGGGGTGAAACTTTCAATTTAAGACCTTTCAATTTGTGTCAGTTAGCTTTAGATTAATCTTTCAAACTTCAACTTTTCAACTTCGATGTTATATTATATTATATGGAAATGAATACAAATCACAGATTAACATAACCTTTGGTTAACAAAATTATAAATATAAGCCTCCAAATTTATACATACCTTGAGTGAACCTATGTATTTTCAGCGAGAGTCAGAGACTAATTTCTCGTTGTACTAAAATCTATGAAAGATTTGACTTTTCCCAACAGATATACTATGGCATATATACAAACTTAGAGATCAAACTCCTTACCACATACTTGAAAAACATGATTATCTGCTAAACATATCATACTATGCTGGTTGAATAAATCCTAAATAAAGGAATACATACTTGATACACATACATACCTGCACACTAAAGGAATTTCTTCTGGTTTGGTATCAGGATACAATCGACACCTAAAACTATCTCTCCAATTAAGTGCTGGCTGTGAGCCGTATAGATCAAAATTGCTATTATACAGAAAGGATCTTGATCTATCTCGTGAATAGAATTCTTTTTTGGCTTCAGTATCCAGCTCATGAAACCTTTTCACCCCATTTTTTATCTCCTCAAGAACACTCACAGGGATGTCATGATTCATCACCTGAAAGAAACCCCATGTTTCAGATGCTTCTTTGACTATGTCAACAAGTCCTTGGCGTTTACTTGGATCTTTGCCAATATTTGCAAGGTCTATGACTGGAATAACATGCCTTATGTTGCCTAAATTTGAGGCTTTCTCAAATTTCTGAGGTTGGTGGAGGAATAAGGTAGGGACACTCTTAACACCCGCATCAACAAGCCCCTTCACTCCAGCTTGGGTTTCATCAAATGCTTTGCGTTGGCTTAAAACAAAATCAAATTCAGGGTCAGTTGTTCCCATTTTCCTTAGAACTTGAAGAGTGATAGGAAGAGCCTAGTAAGAATTATTTATGCAACACCAAAGACTTAAAAACGCATGTGTTGGTAAGCAATCAATGATGCAGGATGCAGCAGTAATGAATCTTGTCTTCTTTCGATATATCTTCCACGGCAACAAATTAAAATATTCACCAAAAGAAAAAATTAACGAGTAATTTTCGTCGTGCTGATGCATTTCATGTTTTTAAATTAATTAAAATAATTTATTCTTTTAGTCTATGTACAAGTCTCTAAAACCTTGGCCTATTCCTTTATGATAGAAACTAAGAATTTAAATTAAATACTGTTATCCAATTCACGTGTATGAACAGTTTATTAAAATGACGATTTCTGATTAAATAATAATGTAAAAGAATGCAGATTTAATTATTCTTTATCACTCTACAATATGACTGAAGTCTGACATTTGGCTCTCCCATGGATCATTGGTATACCCAATCATTTTGACTACCAAACACATTCTATTAGAAAGGAGAGCATCTTGATGAACAACATTAATTGAGACCATTGACTCTAAACACTAAATACTAAACCCTAAACACTCTACATAAGTTCTTCACGAATGTCTCAATGAACAAGAGTTGCCAGTTCGAGGTACACATAGTACGGTCAAGTCGCTTGGCCAGGCAAGAACCAAGTTGCTTATGGTACCAGGTATACCTATGAGTGACCCTTCTTCACTCCTAGATCAATAAGCTTGCACGAGAATAAAACTCATCATATCCACTTCCTAAATGGAAGTGGTACTTGTAACCGCCATGTTAACCTCAATATCCTCTTCCTCTTGCATTTCCTGCACGGACTGATCATCGTGGTATATAAATTTGCACCCCTTCACAATTTCAACAAGAAATGCAGACTTGAAGGGCTACATATATAATAGTCGATTTGGCAGGTGTAATATGCATGTTGGCCCGACTTGCTATCCATGTTCAACGTGTTGAGATCGACCTTGATAGGTCTACCAATGGTTGATGTGATAGTAAGTGTTAAATTATGATACAAATTCTAGAAAAGAAAAGAGTATTCTAGAAACATAAGATAAGATGATGTATAAGAAAAAAAAAAGAAAATTCTAGAAACATAAGAAAAGTTGTATAAGTCTCTATAAAATTCTAAAAGAGTGTAGAGACTTGAAAAGTTTAAAAAATTCTAGATATTTCCACCATCATCTAGAGATGGAGCATCATGCCTATAAATAGGCAAATTAGGGTTTCATTGTAACAACAACAACATCAACAACAATTACCACAACTACTATTACTCTCTCAATACAAATAAGTTTTTATTATTCCTCCAACTATTCCCTTGACAACTATCATATACTAACAGTGGTACCAGAGCTACGTTCGGTCATCCATTAGGCGTAGAAAAATCACCCAACTACTTCTAAAATTCCCTTTTATACCTATAAACATTTTTCTTTGATCTATGGCCTCCAATACCGTTAATTTTTCATCTGTCCCCTTACCAGTTTTTACTGGTGAAAATTTTGATCTTTGGAAGCTCAAACTAAAGACATACTTTATCTCACAAAAACTGTGGGATATCATTCAATCTGGTTGTACAAAACTAGATAATACTATCACTCTGTCTAAGGAGGAGCAGAAGAAGTTAGAAGATTGTGAACAAAAAGATGCACAAGCACTGTTTGTTCTTCAACAAGCTGTGGGAGAAACTATCGCTAGAAGGATCATGGATGCCGATACTGCAAAAAAGGCATGGGATATTTTGGAAGAAGAATTTGAAGGCAATGAACAGGTACACTCCGTCAAGCTACACTATCTAAGAAGAGAATTTTGAGACCATTAAAATGAAGGAATCCGAGACCATTGAAGAATACTATGGAAGAATAAAAGAAATAGTTAATAAAATGAAATTATATGGAAAAGAAATTAAGGAGAAGAGAGTGGTAGAAAAAATTCTTATCACTCTCACGGAAAAATATGATTCCATTGTAGCTTCCATAGAAACTTCCTCGGATCCATCTTCTCTATCGGTGAATAAATTAATTGGTCTCCTCGGAGCGCATGAAGCAAGATTAAATAGTCGTGCCGATACAAATTCAGTTGAAAATGCATTTCAATCAAAGCTTAAATTACAGTCTAGAAATAAAGAAGATGGAGGAAAGAAAAATGCTGGAGAATATTCTAGAAACAAAGATTCTAGAAATTTCTCTGGAAACAAAAAAGATAAATACCCTTCATGTGGTATTTGCAATAAGCCAGGACATGCAGAAAAAGATTGTTGGCATCGTGGAAAGCCAATATGTCACTATTGCAATAAACCCGGTCACATGGAGAAGTATTGTCGTAACAAAAATAAACATCAAGCAAATTTTGCCGAAGAGCATAATCAAGAGCAACGTCTGTTCTATGCTAACCAAGAATCTTGTGACAACGGAGATGGAAGCTGGTACTTGGATAGTGGATGCAACAATCACATGGCCAAGGACCAAAGCATCTTCAAAGACATTGATAACTCCGTCAAAGTCAAAGTTCGACTGGGAAACGACACCATGGTGGAGTCTCAAGGCAAAGGAACTGTCATGGTAGAGACAAAGAAAGGTACAAGACTCATCAAGGACATGTTACTAGTTCCCAATCTTAAAGAAAATCTTTTAAGCATTGGCCAAATGATGGAAAATGGGTATTCTCTTCATTTTGAAAGAGATATATGCAAAATTTATGATAGTAAAAGGGTAGAGATTGGTGAAGTAAAAATGGAGAAGAGAAATAGAAGCTTTCCTTTAAGCTTCAACTGTGGCACTAATCTTGCCATGAAGGTAGAAGTTGATGACTCATGGCTCTGGCATCGGAGATTTGGCCATTTCAATATTCATGCCTTAAAGCTTCTAAATCAGAAAGGTATGATGAGAGATCTACCTAGCCTAAAGGAAAATAATGAAGCTTGTGAAGGATGCCTTCTCGAAAAGCAACATCGATTGCCGTTCTCGACAAGCAAAGCATGGAGAGCCAAGGACTTGTTGGAGCTAATTCATACAGATGTTTGTGGACCGATGAGGACACCATCACACACCAACAACAGGTATTTCATTCTCTTCATTGATGACTTTTCTAGAATGACGTGGGTCTATTTTCTAAAGATAAAGTCAGAAGTCTTTGGAATATTTAAGAAATTCAAGGCCCTTGTTGAAAAGCAAAGTGGAAAACAAATAAAAGCACTTAGAAGTGATCGTGGTAAGGAGTATACATCTCGTGAGTTTGACAAATTTTGCGAAGATGAAGGCATAGAGCGACAACTTACAGTCGCATATACTCCACAACAAAATGGTGTGTCAGAGAGGAAGAATCACACAGTCATGGAGATGGCAAGATTGATGTTGAAGGAGAAAGGACTGCCAAATACATTCTGGGCTGAAGCAGTCTACACTGCAGTCTACCTACTCATCAGATGTCCTACTAAGGTAGTTCGGGACAAGACTCCAATAGAAGCTTGGAGCGGGAAGAAGCCATCAGCTAAGCACCTAAGGGTCTTTGGATCTATCTGCTACATTCATGTGCCAGATGAAAAAAGGCATAAGTTAGAAGACAAGACCGTACGAGGCATATTCTTGGGCTACAACTCACAATCAAAAGGTTACCGAGTCTACAATCTTCAGACAAAAAAGCTAACAATCAGTAGAGATATTGAAGTAGATGAAAATGCTACTTGGAACTGGGAAGAAGAACGAATTGAGAAGAAGACTTTATACATGCCCATGAGTCAACCAACTACATCAAGTCTGGAAGACAACAATCAAGACATTTTTATCTCTCCAGAATCTCCAAGAATAGTTCCACAACAAGAAGAACCATCACCTGAGTTGGTTGTAGACGATGACTTGGTTTTTTTCTTGAGACTTGATTCTTTAATTGCTTGCGTGGAAATCTTCATCTTCGTCTGTTGGTTCTGTGCATCTCAATCTTGACCTTCATCTCAGCATCTGAGTTTAATGCTTTGCTTTTTCTTTGATCTAGTCAACGATGTGAATAGACAGACATTTTTTTCGTCTGGAGTGTCTTTCAATTTGTTTTGTCCTTCGTTTGGTCTTGACTACCCTTTACGTCTGATTATGAGAGTGATGACTTTGCCTGCATGGTCGTTAGGCTCTATTTGATGATTTTGCAACTCTATGTTGATGTTTGGCCAACTTTTGTCCCGTTCTTGACTTAGTCTCATATGATGTTTGGTTTGGTCTTACATCTGATTCCTCATGCTTTAGCTGATAGATTCGTTCAGCCACTTCTGGCTCTCAGTTTATAAGTATTCTTTCCATAGCCTCTTCAGGCTTTATGATATTAACTAGGCAGGTTTGATTTGAGTGTATGGGTTACTCTCATAGAGAGGATACATAGGTTTCTACACTCACTAAGGTATGCAACCTTAGTCTTTACAATGACTGAGTGTTTGGTTTACTCTCATGGAGAGGATACATAAGATGGCACACTCACTAAGGTTTCCTTCCTAAGATACACTTGGAACACCTTAGACTACAAAGATTAATAAAATGATACATTGTAGATTTGAATATGAAGAATTGAACTCTGATTTCTCTATTTTTCTTTTGGGATTGATATTACTTTTGGTGCTTAATGTCCAGAGACCAGGGCAATGCCTATAGTTATTCTTTCGTTGCTTCTTGCCAGCCTTTTTCGATTTGAGGTTATTTCATACTTATAGGCCTGTAAAATTTGCCCGTTGCATATGTCCGTTGAAGCTGATATAGTCGTTCATGACTGGTTTGATCCTTTTATTTAATACATTTGATCTTGCATTAAATGTTGCTTCCTATTTTTAGACATTACGTGTATTCTTCTCTATCCTGTTGCCAGCAGTGTTTGACTTTATTTGAGACCTAGAAATTCTTTTTCTTTTTCTGGTCATGAAGCAATATAGCCGTTGTCCTTTTCTGAAAAAGTAATGCACTTTTTCTGACATATGCATGCTTTTGCTTTTGCGTGCTTCTCTTCTTCTTTGTTTCTTCATTTAGATCACGCATTTTACGTTGAGAGTTTCTATGTGGTTGTAGACGATGACTTGGTTTTTTTCTTGAGACTTGATTCTTTAAT